AGGTCGCCGAGTCGCGGCGAAGCTTCTTCGATTTCTGGGCGCTCCGGCGAAGTTATTATTTGCACTGGGAAATATCAAATATTTGAGACGTCTCCGCGACGCTCTCGGGCAAATACTAACCCTCCCCCCGATGGTCTAAGTACATGTCGACGGTAACAGTTAGGTAAATACACTTAAAACGCTTATTGCGAATTAATTCCTAAGCTGCCTCCCCCCCTATCTTCGTATCGCTGTAGTACTCTCTTGCGTCTAATCTACAATGAGGAACATTTGATTTGAAACAATGATGAACATCTGAGCCGAGATCGGCGTACCGATAAAGAGGAGAGAAAATTTGATAATTTCGACAACCCCTCCAGGCGATACACCTCCTTCTGCCTCGACACACCTGTTAGGGTGGAATTGCACTCCACTCCCACCGATATAGTGGTAAAGTGGGGTACAATTCGAGCAACGCTGCTCGAGGTTCGGTGACATTGGTCATTAGACGTCCGCAATCAGCGTGCCAGAAAATGGGGACAAAATTGCGAACTTACAGCACCCCTCTATGCGATCTCCCCCCCCTACCTTGGCACACCTGTTCAGACAACCACTCCACCACACTGAGTCAAAGGGGGGGATCTCGTTTCCCGCGATATTTCCCGCGGCCTCTTCACCGCCCTCCACACAATGCAGCACCGCGAGGATACCTCCACCCCCTCGGAGGGGGCGCAATGGGGTGCATTAGGGGTTCCCTGATTTCCGGGCGCAACCCCTCGGGTTAACGGGCTTAGTTTAAACACTCGTTACGGGGGAGGGGGTTGATCGTCGTGTCGGGGAAGGGTCGTGTCTAGCAAGGGTGCTCGGCCCGGTGGGGGTTGGAGACGTCCGAGCGCGTCCAGACCACTCGTGCTCCCCCTCGTCGGGGAGGGGAGGGTGGACCGCGAAAATGACGGCCCTCCGTTGGCAACCACCCAGGGGTGAAAGCCACCCCGGACAGGGGTTGTCCGATTTTTTTCCCCGACTCGCGGGCAGAGTGAAAAGACGCCGCAACCGTGAAACGCGGCGCCGCTCCCTCGTTTCGTCGCCTTGCGCGATAATTTGACGTTAATTAGGGAACAATGCACGCGCGCAGGTCTAGCGAGGGACTTCACGTGCAGGAGAAGTTTTCGGCCCCGACCGAGTGGGGAAGAATGGCCGCCGCCGTCGTTTCACCGGCTCGGCAAATAACGAGCCGGGTCAGCAAGAATCGCTAGCCGGAGGAGAGCTTTTTTCCGGATCGCGTGCAGACACTCACTGTTTGCCGTTGGGGGTTTTGTTTCGTCACCGATGAACGTTTCCGAGTGGACCTCGTGTCCGTAGTTGACGTAACAATTCCGACATGGGCTCCTGTTCTCGAGTTCATGCGGATTTTTTTTTTCTTTTTCTTCGCTTTCGAATAGACTCCCATAAAAGAGTACGCATCGTCGACGCGCGTCCAAGTAATTCTTCCAAAGTCGGGCGCCAGGGACGTTGAGATTAAATTTACCCGCTGATTAAGATGAATTGTTTCAGCGGAAGGGCTGGATAGAATTTAGTGGTGCTTATTACATGATCCACCACGTAGGGGGGTAGTTCCTCCCAGGGGAGGTACACATCCCGAGGGTGAGATGATCTCGCCCTCGCTGTTAAAAGTTCACCGGCAAGCAAAATGGCTCGAAAGAAACCCCGTCGAAAAATGTCCGGGGAGTAGGGGGGCAACTTATCAATTCGGCCGGAAATGGCCGCGGGCAGCCTATTATTGTCGGTCGGTTAATAACGAGGGCGTGAAAAACGCGGCGAATTTTTATCCCCCTCCCACCCCAATTTCCCATTTTCTTCCCTCGCCGCGGACCCCAGGGTATACTTCTCCCCCATTATTCATCCGCACTTTTCCTCCCGGCGACCGCTGGCGATTAAGGGACCATACGTTTATCAGGGGGGATGTCCCACCCCCGACGGAGTCGCAGTTAATCCGCGCATCCCGCCCCGTGGATGAATTTTTTGCCTTCCTCGACCCTGAGGAACGTACCGGCATTAAAATCCGATTTGCACCCCTTTTCTACAACCAGGGGTGTCGCGATTCCCGGAAGCTACCCTCGAGACACCGAGGGGTGGCGTTCCTTCGGTCGGCCCAAGAATAGCCCTTGATTCGTCAACGAAGTTAACCTCGATTCAATGGTTAATTCCGTTTGACGGAGGGTGGGTGTTTGTTGGCGCGAGTTACTACCGAAACACGCCCTATGGGGTGCGACACGCCACCCCCAACGAACTGAAATCGAACGCGGAGGGTTTAGCGAAGGGGGGTGAATTTTTCCCCCTGACCCCGTCCCTTGAAACCCTGTTACATCGCAAGCATCCCCCTTCCCTCGCATAACCCAACAACCCCCTTTGTTATCGGGCGCGGCACTTTGCGCCGTCCATTTTTAATTTTTCACAAAGAACCCCTTGTACACTTCAATCGCGGAGTTCCCTCCTTCGTTGCCCCTCTTCTCAGATATTAATTAATAGACTCCGAGAGTTCCACCCCTTGCATTTATTCGATGCCACGACTCGAGGTTACCTCCCCTCCCCTCGGGGAAAAAAACCACCCCCGTAACGTCTCGCCCCTGCTCCTCCGCTTCTGGCGTTGTATCTCGAATTGCGGAATTAAAATCGCCCCTCCAGCGATCTTGGAGCTTCAAACTCGATAAAACATCCCCCTCTCCCCTGTTGTAGGGGTGGTTTAAAGCCCCGGCCGATCGGGGATGGACAGCCCAGGGGTTAATCAGACTCTCGTAAGGAAGAGAGGAAGGTGGGCGAGCCGCAACGAGATCAACTTTAATCGCCCGGTTAATCTCACCAGGGGGTGGCTTCCACCATGGTCCCGTCGAAAGAGGGGGTTGGTTTTCGCTCAACCGGCTTATCGTTAGCCCGACTGTTAACCCTCGAGGTAAAGCGATTTCGGGAGAATCCTCTTTCGCTACTGGCACCGTCGACACGGAAGGGTGGCCCGGGGTGGAGATACACTCGGGTCCATCGGAACAAGGGCTGCCAACTCCGAGGTCACCCCCCGATCGAGCATCCCCAAGCAGTTGGCAGCCTTCTGGGGACTTTTCGCCTTCCCCAGTGTTACCTTGCGTTTCCGCGACCATGATCGTCTCCGCTCAAAATCGAGACGAGTCAATGTAAGCCGACAATACTCGGGCAACGACTCAATTTAAATGCCGCCCCGCTCGCAATACGTGCAATTATACATCAAGGGTGGCTTTTCATGGGGCATCCAATTTGTATGGTAAGTCCGTCATTGCTGGGGTAGTCGCTCGAGGGAAAAAAGAGTTCGTTTACACGGTTACGTCGGCAAGCCTCTCGAAACGTCGGCTCGCTAATTTCCATATCGTAATTATTAATTAATTTCTCATTTACCAGGGGGGGGCAGGAGGAGACGTGCGCGCGCGCACTAATTATGCATCGCGCTGGCTACCGGGATGTCTAATTAGTTCAGACTCGTTAAGGCTGTCGCGGAAGTCGTAGAGATTCGCCGGGCGCTCGCATAACCGCGTTTCGGCGGTCTTAATTGCCGCGGAAACGAAAAAGAACCTCGTTCGAAACAATATTCCCCCGATCCGGGGAGGGAACTTTCCTTTTCCGGGCAACTTTCCTTCCAGGGGGAGTTTCAGCCCCGGACTACGAGGACGGAAACGTCGACGGACAACTTTAGACCCGCCGACGGGGAACGTATTCTTATAATTTCCGCCTTTTTCCCGCAGCTCGGGGATTAAAACGAAGAAAAGGGAGAAATTAATAAGTCAACCGGAATCCCACCGGTTGGCAGGAAATTCCGCGAGGTTTGTAAGAGTCGCGCCAAATTCACGGTAATTTTCCAAATCACCTGAGTCGTGGGAAATTGTCGAAATTTTCAAAATTTTCGAAGTAAACCGACAGCAGGCCACGCACATTTCGCTGGTTTCCATTTCTTACGTCGAATGAAAAGCAAAAATCAATAGGTCAAAATAATGTCCGCTTATCGGAGAGATCTCCGACAGAATTGCGACGGATCAAGTCCGAATGGAATCCCGCAAATTTTCTAAGTGACTCCTGGAGAAGACACGAGTCGCGGACAATTTCCCCGGGATTCGAGGTAAACCGATAGCGTTCCACCCATCCTCGGAGCCTCTTGATTCCCATCCGGGTGGTAAGTCTCGCGCGTCGCCTCGAAGGGGGCGAAAAGTGGGTAAGGCCGTTTCCATTGAAACAAATTTTTCCGCCGAAGCGGGACTCGCTTTCCGCTCCCCCGGATAGCTACTCGGAGAAGCGAGTTTCCTCGTAGCTCCGCCGAGAGACGTCCCGTCAATAAACTCGAAGTCGATAGTTTCCCGACCGCCAGCCATGACGATTACGAGCTACCACCTTGCTGCTACGAGGATCTTCCCCCGCGTCCTACCTTCCTAATCGTGGTTAAATAACGCTACCCTGGGAGGAAAAAGAAAAATTCACCGAAACACGGAAAATAGTACCGAAGTAATATATCTCGTTGATTCAAAGGATAATCATTTAACTGAGATAAAGTCCAAGAAAATTGTCATGATTCCGAAGAAACGTTGCATCCGACTTAGTGGAGTTCATATCAGTCGAATCATTACCCTTTTGAATTTACCGAAATATTTCTTCGGTACCAGTCGGATAAACATTTCTCTGGTTAAATGATATCTTTTCTCAAGATATAAACTCGTTTAATCCGTCACACCTGACACTAATGAACATTCACCACTTGTGCGAGCGTCTCCATAGGCACTCGCCGCCAAGCGGATATGTTGGGAACTACGTTAGCTAAAATACTTAACATAAAATATAACATAAACAACCTGACCAAAACATTTTAGTTGATCGAAACCATCGCGACCGAAACGAGCCAATCGATCGGACGATCTCATTAGTCAAACGAAGTTCTTCTCTTTCTTTTTCCGCGCATCGATCGAGTTGTTACCCGGAGTGTAATAAGGTGCCCCAAGGGGGTAACTCACCTGCTCGGTCGTGTAGATCGGCACGCTCGTGGTCGGCGCTCTTCTTGGACTCGGCCCTGACGAGGCAGGAGACCTCGAAGCACGCGAGGGCGAGGGCCCAGGTGTGCCGGAGGGCGCGCATCGCTGGCGATCACCTGTGGCCGCGACGGAGAGTTCCTCATCTACCAGCCCCTCCTCACATCCTGGACCACGTCCTGGACGACGTCCTGGATGGTTCCGGCGATCATTCCGCAGCTCACGTCGTGGATCATGCCCTGATGCGTCGACAGTCGCGACCAGCGGTCATCCAGTGGAGGCCGCTCGGAGGAGTATCTCCCTCTCGCTCCCTCCCGCAGGAGGCGCCTCGCTCCCTCTTCGTCGGACTCAAAGGGGGACCGGCGATCGGATTAACCGGCGGCCGACTCGACCCCTCGACACTTTTTCCCTGCAATTCGGAAACGTCCCAGAGAGTTCGAGGTTTAACTGGATTATCGAGGATTTCAAAGGCTACGCAGAATCCGCGGGGAAAAAAGTCTAAACGACTCGTGAAATTCCCGCGATTACGGAGACCGGAGGCCGCGTTAGATGCGCCGAGGCGGACGAAACGCTGCGTTTCCTCCCCCTCTTCTCTTACAATTAGCCTCCGCTTCACCCAACCCCCTGGCGATCGGCAATTTTTATGCGAACGCCGACTCGATTAGCGGCATCGGTTTAAATCGCCGGGATGATTAATTCGGTAAGAATTACGCAATTATTCCCTCCGAATGACGACGAGGGGGGGTTAACGTTAATCAATCGTGATTATTCACTCTCCGGTGTCCCCAGGATCGGTCTCGACGGACAACCAGGAAAGTTACGATATAAAGCTCCTTCGTGACTCTTCCTACCCCGAGAAACTAGAATTCATTAACCCGAGGAAATATTTCATTGAATTAATACGAATGAAAATATTCCGTTAATTCGGGAAACAATTATTTAATCTGAAATCGACACAATTAAATCGTCGCCATTACGAAGAAACCTTGCGTCCAATTTATTCGAGTTCATTCGAGTGAAATAATTATCCTTTGAATTAACAAAGTACTTCTTTGGCACCGTACAAAGGAACGTTTCTTTGGTTTAATGTGTAGTATACATCTCCTTTCTCCTTTTCTGAGCACATTTCGATATCGGACCTGGTCGAGAGGTGGCATCGATTTCCATTGTTGTGTAATGCTCGAACATACGCCGACATGTTGCGAGCTGGCCATTGCGGCTAATGTATGCACTTCTACTGGATGATTTTACTTTTTATCATTATTTTATGGGGATGCAGGAAGCCGAGACTTTGAAATCGGACCTGGTCGAGGGATGGCGGCGCCCCTCCCCCGCTTGGGGGGCATCTTGGGCCCCCCCATAGATCGGCGCCCCTCGTCGTCGAGAGGGGAATGTCGGTGGGATTAATTGTAACGCGGTTAGAGGCGCGAGAATCGAATTATTGCGAATTACCACGACGGCAAATCCAATTCCGTTCGGTCGGTTAACCGACGGGTGCTCGGCTCTCTCCCTCTCTTTGCCTCCTTCTATATCTATCTCTCTCTCTCTCTCTCTGTTTCTCTCTCTCTCTCTCGACTAACTCGAGAAGTTAATCGAAGACTCGAGGTAAAACCGCCCCCTTCATCCGGCTCTACTTTCCCCCTCGCAAAACGCACCGAGTCCTCTTCCCGTCTTCGCCCTCAGCCGCGACCCCTTTGCGAGCGGATCCAAAAGCGGAAGTGCGGAACCGGTAGCTGCGATTAGCCGATAGGAAGGAACATAGAGAGAATCCGCGAAGATTCTCCCGCTACGAGCTCGGTTCGCACCCTACGGCGTTATATTTACTTCTGTAGCTCTGTTGTTTCATCCTAATTTTCCCCGAGAAAAATTCATCTTGAAACAATCCTAACCTAAACTTAACGAGAGAAGAGGATCGGATAGGACCTTCTCTTCCTCTTCTTACATCTCAGAGAAATCGCGCTTAAACGATCCTAACCTACACAACGAGAAAAGCAGACCTGATCGAACATTCTGCCCTTCACCCCTTCAAAAAAATTCCCTTAAAATCTAGTCGATTCTTTCGGCCCTCTTCCTCGAAAAGCTAAAATTCTCTCTTAAGCCTTCCTTCCAACCCCCACCAAAAATGCCGCCTTTGACCGAACCACCTCCCCTCCTCCCCCTAAAAAAAATTCACCCTTAACCAGTCCTGCCAACCCTAACGAGGAAACCTAGAAACCTCCACGGGCATGGTGCCCGAGGTGCAGCTCGCGGGTCCCGGCCCCCTAAAACCGTCCCTTCTTCCGGAAACTCCGCCTCGGGGAAATCGGCCGGAAGTCCCTCTTCTAAATAATCCCGAGTTTCGAGGGAGAAGAGAGAGAGAGAGCTACAGGGAGAGCGCCGGAAGTCGCGGCTGTCCGCCCGGAATCAAGGACTCCTGGGAAGCGCGGCGAAAGCCGCCGCCCCCAGCGCCACCCCCGGCCCCCCGGGGGGGGCTCTTATATTCCGATTNTTTCCCCCCCCCCCGCAAGTGAGAGAGAGAGAGCTTACGAATTTCCGCGACGACGCCCGCCAATCCCGGGCGACGCGATCGCGCAACTTCCGGGAGAGCCCCGGGAACCCCCGGAAAAGCTCCTTGGAGATGACTTTTCCAACCTCAACCCCCCCCCCATCCTCTCCCCCATCTCCCCTCGCGATACTCGCGGCGAGCTTTTCGCGAGATACCGCGAGGCCGGATTTCTCGGTGTATAGGTGGTATTCCCTACGTGAGCGGAAATCGCGAGTTCCAGAGGGACTCGCGGGATTCCCGAGGGAATGGGGGCAGGGTCCCTCCAAGGACCGTGCCTGGATGTGTCGCTCAAGAAACGACCCTCTCTCTCTCTCTCTCCCTCTCTACCTTTTCCTCTTCCATTCCACCTGGCACAATGGACTACTGAAAACAAAATGTCTATATACACGTTTAACTGTGTACACATATACATATTTCGTGGGGCTATTCCCTCGGAAATCGATGAACTCGATGTCCTTCTTTAAGAGACCGATTGCCTTTGACTTCATACGATAAAGAACAATGCGATTTGGTAACACGTGGCGCTCGAGCCCGTTTGACAATTGTGAAATTTCGGTGATATCCAACGATTTCTGATACCGATTGCCAGCTTACTTCCGCGCGACTTCGAGCATTAAAATCCATGCTTTCCTGAGTGATTAGCCCCTTGATATATTTTTGTTTTGCAATAGTCCAATACACGAGAGATGATTGTGACATATATATACATACACACTGGCACATACATATTTCATAATTCCGTAACGGAATTATACGCGGTACCATCGGCGACGCACAGCCCCGTGGAGGGACGCGTGACATAATCTCGCGGAACTCACAGTATCCTCCTCGCGTAACTCCGATAATTAGCGTCGATAGGGGGAGGGAAGAGGGGGAGGATGCAATTCTCGTGCGTCGGAATCGCTACGTTCTCCAAGCAACCGACAAACTTCCCCACCGGAAATGGAACGTTCCGCGTCGACGTATGGTTTTTAACGGCGACCGCACCCCCCTCCTCCCCCGATTCAAGAATTTATTAAACGGCGCATATTTTTACGCCCGGGGGATATGTTACTCTCTCTCTTTCCTTCTCTCTCCCTATATATATGTACATATGTATACATGTATGTGTCTATGCGCGTGTATATTTCTCTCTGTTGATGTTTACGGATCAAAGCATCCTCTGTATACTCTGGATTTTGTTCTCGAGGCAATTTTTCCATCCGGTAGTAATGAAACGTTCCGCCATCNCCCCCTCGCTTGTTCGCCATAGGGTGAGTGAGCTCTTTTTGAGAGCTTCAAAAGCGCCGCACCGCGAAAATTTTCAGCGAGTACCCCGCTCTCACCCCCGCGATGCACACTTCTCTCCATCGGTCATTTGTGGGAGTTACGTGTAGCCCCCCCCCCCCGACTGTTTTTCCACCCACGTGTTGGAGGCACGCCGAAGTCGCGAGAAAATTCGACGTTATCGTCGACGTCGGCCACGCGACCTCTCGAAAACGTTCTGGTAAAAAAATCACTGGCTCGAATTGAAGTTATCTCCGGGATGATATGCTGGATTAATCTTTTTTTTTTTTTTCATGACGCGTAATACTTCCGAAAAAAATCGCCGTTTCGAGTTCGCATAAGATCTTGATCACCGCATTTCGCGCATGAAATCTCGATCACTGAATTTTGCCTGTGAAGTCTCGATAGCGGAATTCCGTGCATGAAATCATGATTGCAGAATTTCGCGTATGAAATCTCGATCACCGAATTTTGCGTGTGAAGTCTCGATCGCGGAATTTCGTGCATGAGATCCTGATTGCCGAATTTCGCGTATGAAATCTCGATCACCGAACTTCGCGTGTAAAGTCTCGATCGCGGAATTTCGTGCATGAAATCTCGATTACCGAATTTCGCGTGTAAAGTCTCAATCGCGAAATTTCGCGCATGAAATCATGGCCGCGGAATTTCGCGCATGAAATCTCGATCGCAGAATTTCGCGCATGAAATCATGATCGCCGAATTTCGCGCGTGAAATGATCATCGCCGAATTTCGCGTGTAAAGTCTGAATCGCGAAATTTCGCGCATGAAATCCCGATTGCGGAATTTCGCGCATTAAATCTCGATCGCGGACTTTCGCGCATGAAATCTCGATGGCTGGGTTTCGCGAGACGAAATCTCGATTGGGGAAAGGTGGCAGAACTTCGGAGCACCCCTTCGTTTAGTCTACAGGTTTGCGCCCCTTCGCCAGGCGGCGGTCGTGAATCAAAATTCCCGGAGCTTAAAGCACCCTTTTAATTTGTCGGCGGGGGGCAATTCCGCGTGCCGACGTGCCAGGGCTCTCGCGCAAGCCCCGGCTGATTAATCGGCGAACGCGCGCCCGGCGTTTGAGCTTTCGAAAAGGGGTGGGCGGGAGAAAAAAAGAAAAACAAAAAACGGAAACAAAAAGAACTCGGAGAAACGCACTCGTGGCCGTACTCAGCCTCTCTCGACATGGCCGTGGAAGGCGAATTGAATCGAAACGACGTAGGGGAATGAAGAAAAAAAAATGAAATTTTTCCGAATACGGAGTGCCCGTAGTTCGACGACACTTGCCGGGATTGGTGAGAACG